CATCACGATTAATTTTATCCAAAGCAATGCATCGATAAGAAGGAAAGAATCGCGGTTCTTCGATTCATCGTTGCAGCCCTACAAATCACTACCATTGATTAGTCAGTGAGTATATTAACAATCCATTCCTTTTTAACCTCTCTTTCAAAAATCTTGAACAAGTTTCACCATAGGCAGAGTTTGATCTATTGTTCTTCATGGCAACCAACACCACTATAATGTCTCATCAATGGTAGTGATTTATGTCAGTCAGTGAATAAATTCTATTCCTTTTTTAACCATACCCCCCTGTCAAAAATCTTGAACAAGTTCACCATGGGCAGGGTCTATTGCCCTTGTATTACAAGCAGTGGTCAGTCAGTGAGTATATATTTAGATTGTCAAAAAGAAGATCAATGCACCTTTTTTGACCATACTCCCCTGTAAAAAATTTCAGACAAGTTTAATGATAGCACTATAGTATATAATCAATAGCAGTGATTTGTGGTCAGTCTGTGAGTATATATTTAGATTGTCAACACTGTATAACACTGTATAGTACTGTATAGTACTGATATTGATGATATTGTAATTAAAGAAATCTATATCAGTCCTTCTGTCTATAATTACAGTTTTAATCAATATTCACAGTCCACACAGTCTACATTTCAATATTCTAGACATTTTAACTGTCATAGCAATTTTACATTTCATAAAATTTTTATTGGAATATCATTGCAATTTCATTGTGATAGCAATTTCATTGTGATAGCAATTGCAATAGGGAATTTCTACTGTCACCGAAATTTTACTTCAAATCTACAAATCTGTCCAAGCAAAACAATTCCTCCAAAATCAAAATTTTGTCCAAAGTATGACAATCGAGAGTAAATATTGTGTAGTAGTGGACTCCTCCAATGTGAAGTTCCATCAGGTGTTTGGAAAGAGAAAGTATGGTCTGTTAATAACAATATTATAGCAATTTCACTACTGGAGCAATTTATTTGAATCTTTTATTAAAATTAACACAGCAATTTCATTAGAAGTGAATAATCCTGATAAACAGTCTAAAACGAAGCAGAATTAAAATCATAACAACAGAATTAAAATCATAACAACAGAATTCAAATCATAACAACCAAATTCAAATCATAACAACCAAATTCAAATCATAACAACCGAATTCAAATCGTAACAACCGAATTCAAATCGTAACAACCGAAGTAAAATCGTAACAACCGAATTAAAATCATAACAACCAAATTCAAATCATAACCACCGAATTCAAATCATAACAACAGAATTAAAATCATAACAACCGAATTCAAATCATAACCACCGAATTCAAATCATAATCACCGAATTCAAATCATAACCACCGAATTAAAATCATAACCACCGAATTCAAATCATAATCACCGAATTCAAATCATAACCACCGAATTCAAATCATAACCACCGAATTCAAATCATAACCACCGAATTCAAATCATAATCACCAAATTCAAATCATAATCACCGAATTCAAATCATAACAACCGAATTCAAATCATAATCACCGAATTCAAATCATAACAACCGAATTCAAATCATAACACCGAATTCAAATCATAACCACCGAATTCAAATCATAACCACCAAATTCAAATCATAACCACCAAATTCAAATCATAATCACCAAATTCAAATCATAACCACCGAATTCAAATCATAACAACCGAATTCAAATCATAACAACCGAATTCAAATCATAACAACTGAATTCAAATCATAACAACTGAATTCAAATCATAACAACTGAATTCAAATCATAACAACCGAATTAAAATCATAACAACCGAATTCAAATAATAACAACTGAAATTCAAATCATAACAACTGAATTCAAATCCATTCTATCAGAAATACAGCTAGTCTTAAACCATCCACCAATATATATATCCTTCTAAGGAACCCTAAATTTTAAAGAAAGGAACACTTAGTTTATAATTTTCCTAATTGTCCAAACAGATCCATTGAAGAATATATTTTCTAGAAAAAAAACCTCCATTGATAAATGAATTTTCGTAGAAAAAGAGCCCACATATTTAAAGTGACAAACATGATATATGGTGACCTTTTATTTTTTCTTTGAAGATTGACAAACTGTTTCACAATAATACAGATGTAAAACATTGCCGACATATTTTCGTCACCTGCTAAACGACCAAACCTTGTTTTCCTTGTAAAATATTCTCTGATATCATATTTCACCCGAAACCTTGAACGCATTCGTAACCCAGGTGGTTCTCTGTGATACAGGAAACAGTTTTTATATCAAAAACAACAAAAGAGGAAGATAAAGTTTAGAATTGTACAAGATTCTGATAATGAGGTCTGACTGTTACAGCTGGGGTCTGTTTTATTTTCTTTCATTCATAGAAAACAACCTACTTTACTTTGTATTTTAATACAAGCATTAAAACCGGTTAGAAGAAAACCTCTATTCTGTTACATTATATTCTAACCTGACATTGGGTACTCAAGATCTGATCTTAATACTCATCACTAATCCATGGCCTAATCTGTTGGAAGAAAGTCTATAATTCTGAAACTTTCCAACAAACATGCGTCACTTTTTATACGCCCACATCTCTCTATGTGGACGTATATTGTTGGCATCCCCGTCCGGTCCACTCCGTCCGGTCCCGTCCGGTCCGGTCCTGTCCCTTCCCGTCCGTCCGTCAACATTTGCTTATAAACGCTCTAAAAACTAGATTTTTTGAGGGAATCAAATGAAATTCAGTATACATATTCATAAAACGAAGATCAAGTTCGAATTTGAGCTATTTTCGACTGTTAGAAGCAGAGTTATAGCCCTTGCCCCAAAATTTGAATATGCTATTACTCTCTTAGTTTTCAACCGATTTTGATGAAACTTAAAATGGATGTTTCGTTTTTCAATCTGCATGCCGTGAAGGGCGTATATGGCTGTGGTCCAATATCTTTTTCATTTTGATATTAAAGTTAGAAGCAAGATAGCCTTTACTTCTGAAAGTATATTATATTCTGAACTATCAATAGGTACTCAGAATCTAATCTTGAAACTTAAGCTTGAAGTAATATATGGCCTAATTTTACCCATTGTAATTAAAATATTATTCTGAAACATTAACTTCTATCAAAGTTTTTAATCAAACTGGTTTTTATCAGCCAGATGTACCCCATTTAAAAAAAATTGCCCCAAAATATGTGTCAGAATTCATCAAATCATGTTAATTTAAAGAGTTTACTTGCAGGAAAATCGTCTCAGAGGCTTGCATATATCACAGTCACAGAGATGCCAGATTTTGAATCTGAACCTTGACAATCAGTTTACCCCTGTTAGTACCTCAGTCTCGTAAAGCTGGCACCACCTCACCTTTAGATCATTGAATATTACAAATACCATAATCCAACATATTCTACCAGTTCATTCTGATTACACATAGTACAATATTATCAAGATACAAGAGATGGAAGGCAATCTTTGCTGAATTTAATATAATACTTTTATTAACAATATCTTCATTATAATTTTAAATTCAAATAAAACAAAACAAAATCTTAAATTATCACATAGTCCATGGCAAATTAAATCCTCTCCCCAACAACCCCAGGGACCCTTATGTGCTCCCTTCCTTAGTAACTCTTTAAACAAATAATCTAATGTCTTTTTTCTTGGCCTTGAATTCATTTATTTTTTCTATATATTATAAGATGTATTTTCTGTATTAGATAACGGACTGTGGTCCAACCAGTCATTTTTTATACTTTTAAGTCCCCCTTTTATTTATCATAGAGGCCCAGTGGGTAGAAGAATATTTATACAAAACAGTTTTATATTTATTATACCACAGGACAAGTCGGTACCGCCAAAATAAATATATTATCATTGTTAAAACTAACAAAACATTACTAAACTAACCAGCACTTGTAAATGAATATTCCTTGCTTCAGACCTTGGCCTGTGCTTTCTATGAGTTAAATTCTCATTTCACCTTAACACAAACACCAAATTAAGCTGTAATAACTCAATTTTATTCATTTATAGATGTTCTGATGATTGTTTTTATCTCCCAAACACCTGTGTGTAATATCAGATCAGATCTTGTCCAATCTTATCTCCCATTCACAGAAATCCTTTTAATTCCTTTAACTCCAAATCTTAATCATTTTAAAAACCATATAAGGATGTCAAGATAAAAAAAAGTCCAAGGTATAAAATTGATTGTTAGATTTTTTCTAGAAGAATTTCCGATTCTTTCAATTGAAATAAATCCATTATTATTGAAGTGTATTTAAGATTCCACAGTATTACATGTTCTAGTTCTAGTACTACTTTAAATAGAGGTTTTACAAGCAGATTACAATAGACAGTCACCAATCAATCTATTAAAGGTCACATCCCACAACGATTTTTCACCTAAAAATATCCTTTAAATAAAGTTAAGATATGGTTTTTCTTTCGTTTGACTACATTTTTAGTTGTTTTGAGTTATCAGTTTAGAGCTTTGACTTCTTACTAACCTTAGAGCTAAATTTTATGTTTAAATATGGTTTAGTTTTAGTTTTGATATATTTAGAGGTATGACTCTTTATTACCCAAAACGTGTCTTATGGCCATATAAACTTTTAAAACTGTGCTATCAAATTAGACACTATATCAAAATAACACATTCTGGTTCATCTCAAATTATTACAATATAATGTTAAACACAGAATTATGACATTTATTTTCTATATTGAATAAAAATAATTCTGAAAATTTGCCTTGAAATTGATAAATATTGAATAACAGAATTATGTAAAACTGTTCTTTAATATTTGAGCAAAATATTTTTAAACTGTGTCTCTAAAATTTAGGAAAAATTATGTAAATCTCTTCTTCAATATTTGAGCAAAATATTTCTAAAATGTTACTTTAAAATTTAGGACTGTGAATTGAAAAAAGTAAAACATTTCGTTCATATTTGAGCAAAATAATTCAGAAGCTATTCCTTTTAAAATATAAAAAAATTGAAATATAACTCACCAATTTCACAACGATCACCTTCGAATTCCAATCTTGTACAATCACACATCAATCCATCATCAGTTGTCAAACACATACCTCCATTTAAACATGGATTACCTCGTTCACATAAATCCTCATCACTTGATAGAATTCCATCATGATTTATCATTGTGGGTCGTTCCACTGGCCCTGCACAACTGCTATAGAACAAGTTCCTTATAGATCCTCGAAATTTTGGCTCAAAAACTACGGATGGAAGAGCTAAGGAAGTGAGTTTTTGATCGTAATCGTTTGGTAATCCTCCGATAAAAAAATACAAATCTGTGATATTATTTGTATCGAATTTATTTCCATGTAAAGTTCTTGTATGTTCGATTTTATCGACGGTTAAAGTCGTTTGTTCGCCGTCTCGACGTATTTCCACTTTATGCCACTGTTGATCGTTTAAACTTTGACCTGCGGACAGAATGACTGTACCGTCACCTAAATTTAATCTTAATCTAGCGATTCCTGCTACTAATTTTAACTCAAAAAAACTGGAATGACCGTCATCGATATAAAACAGTAAAGCATTTGGACGATCTGTTTTAAATTCGAAACTTAACGATCCATTAATACAAGGTTCCCAATGATCAAACTTTGCGTAAGATCCAGGAGATCCATCCAGGTTAAATCCGAGGCACGAACGAGTCAAAATCACAAACATGTACACAAAGGAAACAACGAGCGTTTCCGCACCACCAAACCACACCATGGTGAATTCTTGAACACAAATAAGGCTATAAAAAACACACAATTACAGCAGAATTTAACTCACAATTTCCCATAGTGAAATAGAATTAAACGTTGTGTACTGAACACTGCCTGACTCGGTGACTAGTACTACGATAGTGACATACAACCATTGATTGATATAGTTTTCTCCTTCTACTACTATATTATACACAACTCTCTCTCTCTATAACGACACGGTGGTTTCCTTGCTACACACAGGACTTGCTAGATACACACTGGCGTTATCAATACACACTGGATTTCTAGTTGCACTGGTCTTCTTGCTGTACACTGGTCTTCTTGCTGTACAGTGGTCTTCTCATACACTGGTCTTCTTGCTGTACACTGGTCTTGTTGACATACAGTGGTCCTCTTGCTACACACTGGATTTATCCAGAAGCTGCACTGGCCTTCTTGCTGTTCACTGGCCTTCTCGTACACACTGGATTTCTTGTACACACTGAATACACTGGCCTTTTTTGCTGTAAACTGGCCTTCTTGCTGTACACTGGCCTTCTCGTACACTGGCCTTTTTTGCTGTACAGTGGTTTTGTTGCTACACGCTGGATATACTGTCCTTTTTTTGCTACTGGTCTTCTACATAGATGAATTCTCTCATACAAACTGGTCTTCTAGCTACAAACTGGCGTTCTCACTAGAAACTGGTCTAATCGTAATCTTTGCTTCCACGATCACACCAAGTAGTTTTTACAATCTAAAAAATACAATATGAGATTAAATTATTTCTTCCACTACAATACAATAGTTTTCTGTGGATATTAAAAAATGATAGAGTTAGATTAAAACTTATTTAAACCTGAAAAACAATATGAGATAATTTGATAGAGTATGATATCACGTATTGACATTATTAGTTGAGAAATAGAAGTGTAGTTAAATGAGGAATGAAATGAGTACTTCAGCGGACAGCCTTTGGGGGAAATAAAGAATTATGACACCAGTCCGACCCTCGGAAGCACAGGCATTGCCATCAGAAATTTTTTCTCTCTTTGAGGATGAAATCTAACTAACTGCACCTCATAAAAATACAAGTTTCTCAGTAATGTTGAAGTTTTATATAATACTATTTTAGTATCTAATAGTGCCTCATAGTAATTATTTTATTGGAGCTTAGTTTTGAGCAGTGTGGATGTATAAAAAGATTATCTGATCTTGTTTTGTAGATTTTCTGTCCGAACACCTTGAAATTGTCATCTTAAAGGGAAATCTTGTTACTGGTTAGAGCACTATTACAAATATTAGTAAAGATATTACTGAATATATTAGTAAAGATTATTAATAAAGATATTAGTATAGATAATAAAAGTATAATATTTTAACAGTCACAGTCTACTGAGAGTCTATTATTCTATACTGGACATTGTTTACTTTTCATACTAATTATCTATAAAACAGGGAATAGAGAGGAGTTTTACACCCTCTAGTAAGATATAAATTGTTACCAGGACTAGTGTCATAAAAGATTCATTTCTAATCAAAACTTCATACTACCAGTTTCTTCCTTCAAAATTATTGCCCTGCATGACACTACAGATATTCCAGTACTTTCTTTGTTAAGTTTGTGAGAAGGGATATAGTTAGGGTGACAACATGCCTGCTCATATAGTCCGAAACATCTGCCTCTATTCTAACCTCTGATAGATATTATGACAGCTGTTATCTGGAGTAGGCCTAGAGTCAGAAGAAATATACCTTGTTAAATGAAGATTTCCTGCGGAGATGCGTTTTCTCTAACATCATATTGAATTATCTTTAAGATGATTGTAAATTAGTGTTGAGCATCACCTTAACTTTCATTTTGGTAAAATCGTGTGACTCTGTGACCTTTGAACTTTTGGCTGCGCAAACAGTTTTAAATGGACGATGCTAGATCCGTTTCGCCAAAAAAATTGATAGAACTGGAGACTTGATATAGATGGTGGAGAGAGAAAATAATGGTATGACTGAACTATAAAAATGTTCATCTGTCCAAATATGCCTGGGTTTTGCAGATCCAAGGTATCTAAATAGTTTTAAAAAACCCATACCCACGGAGATGATCCCATTTAACAGGGCTTATTATTTCTGTCTCTACACCAGCTGACATCTGTCAAAATAGCTATCAGAGGCTTGAATAGAGACAGATATTTCGGTCTACTGGTCACCTTGCCCTGAGCATCCAACAGTTCCTGGCCTTGAAAAATATCATCATGACTACGCGTCTGACCTGGCTCTGAGTAATTCCCCAAGTATAAGGCTATGATGAGGGGAGCAGGCCTAACAATTGTTAGTTAGTTTTGATCTCCATTCCTTATACTAGACAATTTTTACAAATTACAAACTATTTAAGAAGTGCTCAAAAAATATCTATTCTTATTGATTTTTATAAACTCTTAGCTCTGACAAAAAACCAATCTGACTACAAACTTCATTATAATGTCAACTTGGTTGAATAAATCCTAACAATTATTGTTGTTTGAACTCTTACATTTTCAGTTGTGTTTCTACTAATTTCTAAAATACATTCTGAAAATGATATCCATTATATAATAAGGAGTAGCAGGTGTTGAGTTAATCTTTAATGTAAATTAATTATTTTACAGGCCATTAGCAGGTTGGAAGAAACTATTATATCCCCACCCACTCTCATGTAATCTTCCAGTATTTTTCCCTATTTTATATTAATTATTAACCCATCCACTGATTGAAAACATGTTTTTATTTTTTATATTTCAGGTTGGCATGAAATTTGTCGTTTTGAGAAAGAAAATGGTGAAATTATTATCTTACAATAATGTTTATAGGAGCTAGACTGATTATAAAATATTTACAGAGTTGAGAATATTGTCCAAGGGATTATAGACTAGATATAATTAAACTTACTGGCACTGCCTTAAACTTTATCACAAATTTTAAATCAAATGCATTTCAGCAAAAATTCAACTAGCTGTCAAAGGATCTTAACTGAGATGACATGTGGCACAAGGCCTTGACAAAAAAATGACAAAAAAAATGAATGGTATTCCAGCACCAATTTTTTTTCAACATATGAAAAGTGTGAAGGTTTTCTATTGTTTGATGCGATACTGATAGATCAACCATCCTTCAGGATTGCAAATAAGCTCTAAGAATTGAACCATCAGGAATCCTTGTGACTAACAAAAAAAACCATCCTTGATTCAGTTCACAAATCAAAACTTATATTGAAACAGAGACCTGACAAACAAAACAACTCTTTTAGACAGGAATAATCCAAACTAGCAGAAAGACTCTACCTTGCTGAACCACAACACCTCCTCTAATCTGACAGGAATAATCTTGCAAAGAAGCAATATGAGGATAGCTAATAAAGAACTCAAAACACCTCAACTACCAAGCTTCCTTCAAGACTGCAATAATCAAAACTGTCTTAGTGCTAGGATGTCCTAGGGCCTTAACCACTGTTTCCCGAATATCGCAGCCCTAAAGATCGTTCCAAGGCCAGACTTGTTAAATATCCTACCTTGCTGAACCAAGATTAGACTGACAGGACTAATCAGGAATAATGTTTAATATTCCTGGAGAATTCTATCAGATCTAGAAACAGAGACAATAAACCACCATCAATCATCCATTATAGTAGGTCTGCTAATTAAACAACGCCATGTTTCTAGCACTGGATATTGTTATCTTAGCAGATTATAGACACCATCCCTATAGGTTTTAATCAACATAGAGGTACAGCTGGCTCCAGCCCCTTCACTATCTATAGCACTGGATATTGTTATTCTTATCAGATTATAATACAGATCATTTCCAGAGTTCTAAATCAGCTTGTACAGTTATATAATTAGAAGCAATGTCAGGGGCAAGCTACCCCAACCTTAAGATCAACGACCCATCTCAACCACAATTTATAATTCAGGGGGACACACAAAAACTATGAAAGAGATGTTCATCATGTTCAGTTGACAGTTTTCATGAAACAAGATATCAACTTGAGTTTTGTCGTGTCTTCACTTGCCTATTGATAAGACATAACTTGTTACAAAGATAACCACAAACTTTAAGAAATGCTTAGAGACATTTTGCTTTTTTGTGTTCCCTAAATGGCCTTTTTTTTGCCTTAACAGATATTCAAGCCCCTGATATTTTGAGCTACAATACCTCTTCACTTAATTTACTTGTACCAACATATAATATAAAGATTTCAATACAATCATACTAAAATTTAAGTACCAGATTCTAGATTCTAGATTTCAGCAGTTCAACCTAAGAAAAAGAATATATCAGAATCTCTCGTCGTTTGACTAACAAATCTCTGATAGTCCAACATTAATTACAGTTCTCAGTATTGTTATGCTGCTTTGATTATACATCACTACTGTAGATTAAGGTCAAGGTTGTTGGAATCTCATTAAGACATCGTCTAATTACAATATGACCAGATGATAGACACTCATCATTAAAAATAGATTCCTTTCAAATTTATTGATATCTTACGACTTAAGAAATATTAAAAGAGAACCTGAAACATGTTGTCATTCAGAGTTTCACGCTGTATGATCTTCAGACAACTTTCTGAGGTGTAGAAATATTAAAACAGAACCTGAAACATGTTGTTACTCAGAGTATCACGCTGTCGTATCTTCAGAAAACTGACCTACGTAAATTTGTATACCAAGAAGTAGCAATGCTCGTTTTCCATTGATATTTATCAATGTCTTAGAATTTTAAAAATATTATTACAGAAACCAAAACATGTTGTTACTCAGACTTTCATGCTGTGCGATCTTCTGACAATTCATATATCTTAGAATTTTTATGCTAAGAAAGAACAAATCTCGTTTTCCATTGATATTTGCTGCTCTGGAAAGAGAGGTCATGATATCAAGTTTGATCCAGCAAGACGATTTTCTCTCATTTAATTTCATTGGTCAGGAATTTTCAGTT